GTCAATATAGTCCCAAAAAAAACAATATATAGGCAAATTAAATTTGAGCTGGTAAATCTGCTTTGAAGTATAGTTTCTTTAGATATTGTAGTGCAAACACTACAGTTAGTAAAAGATTTGCAACTGAATCTATTATTTTTGTTAATTTCATATGTGAGCTTGTTTCTTTGGTTCAGTGTGCACTTTTAAAGAATTTAAGAGATATTGCATGTTTTGCTGTCAATACCGAGAGGACGCCAGAGAACCTCTTACTTTTATTTTTCTCTTTGTTTACTTCAACTTTAAAACATAATTAAAACCGCTTCCTTTGTGTTGAAGACATGGAAAGAAAAAAGGCAGCCCATATTACTAAACTAATTTGCGATTTTTTATTAAAAGTAAGTCTTTACTTGCAGAAATTCCGTCGCTAAGGTTATCAAACGGTTCAAATATGACTGGAGTTTGCATCAGAGAACAAGCGTTAATATTACAAAAGAATCTATTAAATCTATATATTCCGTGTGGCGCACATAACCTTTTAGTTTAAGTGTTTGCAGTTATATCCTAGGCTGATATTAGGATTTTTTTCAGTAACATCCTAGCTCTCTACGTGTTATTTAACTGAAGTCCAGCTAGTTAGAAGATTCTAAAAGAACTAACATTTATCTCTTTTTACAAGCTTTCCGATACCAGGTACTTACCTCGGATTGCTGCTATTAAACTAAAAAAAAACCAACCATGGGAAATTATTGGGAAATTATATCCACCGCAATGGGAAATTATATCCACCGCAAGTGGAGGAAGCCAGATCATTAAAGCCTTTGGGGGTGCTATAAAGGATTCATTGAATGGAGTTTCAGACTTAGATGAGAAGCTAGTCCGGTCAATTGGAGACGCTTCCTCATCGGTGTTAACAGCCGCCGGTGGGGCTGTGAAAGATGTTGGAGAAGGTGCAGGATCCTTCTTTCAGAAATTCCTTGGTGGTATAAGCGGATCCATTCTGTGGGCAGCAATACTTCTAATAGTAATATATTTAATCTTGAACAAGCCTAATTTAAATTATTCCCTGCCTTGCTTAAGATGTTTTCAAATACCATTGGTAAATGAAACTGTAGTACAGCCACGCCAGGATCAGTCCACGACAATGTCTCCTAGAGTAAAGGGACGTCACCCACGTAATTGCTCAGCTTGTAAGGTAGTTCATAGGGAGTAAAAAGAATACCGGTGAACGGTAATGGCAGGAATTAAATCTTGTATAATTCCTGGATGGAGATGTGAGACGCCTCCAACCACCACGAGTTTCCTGAAAAATGCAATTTTTTCTGTTTTCTCGCGCTGTGTTGCTGTTTGCAACAATGCTGTTTAGAAAAAAAGAATTTACGATAATTACAATGAACTTTTATAGTGCTGTTTGGAACAAACGATGAGCTTGATGTGCAATGATGCCGTTTACAATAATTTTAATGATGCTGTTTCGCAATGATTTTTATGATGCTGTTTTACTACGATGAATTTTTATGTTGCTGATGTGCAATGATGCTGTTTCGTAATGATTTTTTTTTATTTACGATGAATTTTTATGTTGCTGATGTGCAATGATGCTGTTTTGCAATGATTTTTATGATGCTGTTTTATTACGATGAATTTTTATGTTGCTGATGTGCAATAATGCTGTTTCGCAATGATCTTTATGATGCTGTTTTATTACGATGAATTTTTACGTTGCTGATGTGCAATGATGCTGTTTTGCAATGATTTTTATGATGCTGTTTTATTACGATGAATTTTTAAGTTGCTGATGTGCAATGAGGCTGTTTCGTTTTCCGAGCTGTTGATTTTCCTTAACGAGATATTGGCGATTACCCGTTTGCTACTCACTTGAGATTATACTATTGTTGCTGTTTTGATGACACTTTTAAGTCCGAGGACGGACTTTTCGTTCGTTGTGAGTAATGTTACGAAGGTGGGTTACTCAAGCGGAACGCTTGAGTAACTCAAGTTTATTGAACCATATAGACGTGTAGCATAGACGCTAGCGTACCAAAACAATTTGTTTTACTATATCTTCTATTATCTGCGGCTCCTCTACAACTTCAAACGCTTCTTCGACTCCTTCAACCGAACCGGGTCAAGAACTCAACTCCGAACGTTTGTTAACTGTCGTTTTTATACGTTTTGTTTAAACGCTAGACGCGTTTCCGTTCATAAACAAATTGTTTTGGTACGCTAGCGTCTATGCTACACGTCTATATGGTTCAATAAACTTGAGTTACTCAAGCGTTCCGTTTGAGTAACCCACCTTCGTAACAATACTCTCAATCGTTTTAAAGATGATCTTGACTCTTCCGCTGACATTTTAAATTAAGCTGAGTCTTTGATAAGGGTTATAAACTGATTCAAACTGTTATGCTTCTGACATTTTGGTATAAAACTTTACAAGTAGTAATTGATGTACGTTGTTTGTTTTGTTCAAATTTTTTTTTGTAACAACAGATGACGAAGTTATTCTCATTTAAGAGCTATTTAATGGTCTTTGCCGCATCATTTCATCATTGAATGATATTTTTAATAAAGCAAAAGTTTATGTAGGTCCTCTTGACTTCGAAACTGAATTTTAGGAAAAACGAAAGGAGAGAGCAAAACGGTATTATGATGAACGTGAAAATGTACGTCCTGTTGTTGTACAGGATTCAAACGCACTAAACATTTAATAAGGTTCGGTATCTAAAATTTTAATAAGGTTAGCTGTTTAAAGCTAAGAAAATAACTGAATTTTTTAAATGGTCCAAATCATCAGAAATAATTTATAAAACATCTTTAAAAGGACATTTTAAACAGACCTAGAGTTATTAAGAGACCGTGAGTTATTTTGGAAAGATATTAGTAGATATTTTGGAAGCTAATTATTTAAAATTCTTCTGATCTTTAAACGTTATAGTTTGATAATTATTTTTCCGTTTACTAAAGATGTTATTAAAGCATGCAATGAATTGGGAATTTTTATCAATGTAATTGTAACAAGATCATTGTTTCATGTTTTTTACATAAAAACACATTTATAGGACTTTTTTTTAAAGATTTAATAGGTTTTGTTTATTTATTTTCAAATTTCTTTTCTGAAAAACTCAGTTTTCTGCTAATGAAATATTTTTTTAATAGATAATATTTATAAGATATGCGGAGACAAAAGAAAATTGTAAACAAAATTAATAAAAACTTTGTTAAACGATTAAGTTTCAGAATTGCTTCCGCAATAACGCAACAAAGTTTAAAAAACGTATTTTAAATTATTATATTGTATTTTTTAGTAGAAGAAAACAAAAACATTAGAAGAAACCAAATAGCAGTAAAGTACGCCTACATATTTACAGGTACAATCTACAGGTTTTATTCAAAAAAATACAAGCTTAGTTATAAAAAACTGCTTTCATACTTATGCGCAAATAAAAATAATAAAAATGTTAAACCAACATCGTATATTTGCGTAAAATTTTTATAAATATTAGATATTATAAATATTAAACACAACGTGACATAAAGTTATAATACATAAAACAAAAACAAACAAAAAAAACAAACAAAAAATTTTTAATGATATGATTTTATTGCTCCAATATACTTACAAGTAATTTATAAGTACTTTCTTAAAATAATTAAATACTCTGGCGCTAGATTGAAAAATGTTACTATTGTTGTCACAGTGTGACATATCACAGTAACAAACTTAAAGCAGTTCAAATAAAAATTTCTCAATGAAAGACAACTTAATTATTAAAATGCTTTTGCAAAATGAAAAGTAAAATATTTTATATTTTGCTTGAGAGCACTATATGTAGAAATTTTGAAAAAAGATTTAAAAAAGGTTTGTAAATAATTTACTTAAAAAAAAAAAAAAGTTTGAAAAGTCTAAAAAATTTGGATAAAGTTTTAGTGTAAGTTATTAAATTTATTTGAAAACTATTCCTTATTTGAAAACTGTTTCTACATGCTATATGATTTTAGGATTTCCAAACATTGCACTTTTGAATGAAATACTTAGTTTCTTATTTTTTGCGATTTAAAAAATTCTATTAAAGTTTTCGTATAACGCGGAATCGCCGAATGGCAGTTATTAGTGACAAATGCAATAATGATATGAGTAACAGATCCCCGGGTAAGATGTCCCATTCTCAATAATAAACAAAAGGCAAAAGAGTATTATGATTATATAATTCTACGTCCATCAAGTGAATTAAAACTTTTAACTCAATGTTGTGTTAAAAGTATATGCTCCAGTATATGCTTCAGTATGGTTTCAAATAAAAAGAAATCCAAGTTGTTCATAGAATAATGATGGTTCTATGAACTTTTGGAAATTAATTAAGTGTTGTCAATATATGCCAGCACAGCCTGAACTAATATTAGGTCTCGTATTTCAACATAATGTTTTTTTTTCCCACATTGAAAGTTTGCATCTGTCGATGTTGTGTGATGAACACAAAACAGTAAGGGAACTTCCCAGGAAGGTACTAAAAGCTAAAAACTCACCTCATACAAGAAAGATACCGTGAGTGTTTGAAGTATTGCAAATAAATATTAAATTTGAAAAAAATTATTTCAATCCACCAATTCTTCGACACACAACTAATCTGAAATTAAATAAGTTTATTGAGCCTCAGGGCGGCTTAAACTTATATTACTTAATGCTACCATGTCACACGCAGGCAGTCGAACGCTCTGGGAAAATAATAACGTAAGCATCTCCGTCCTTATGCAATAAAAAATCAAATAAAGGTTTAATACAAGCAAAACTTGAACCCAGAAAACTTAAGCTACAATTTGACAGTAAACAAGATTTTGTGGTCAAAACATAATCAGTTAGATTTTGTCTTACAGAATACAAATGTATATCAATATCAAAATTTGGTAATATGATTATTGTTTATACGTTCTATATTTTATATATATATATATATATATATATATATATATATATATATATATATATATATATATATATATATATATATATATATTATAAATAGGTAATTCTACAGGCTTGTTTTTTCGAAACCTTGGAAACGACACATGGATTCTAAGAGTTCGGTGGCCAGAGTACTAAGTCTTCAACAACTATATGGATTTTGTTGAGATTTTCGTATCCAATAATAACAAATTTGAGAAAAACTTTGTTTGTTCACTTTTTTAGTTTTATTTAACTTACCTATAAGCTGATGATTTTAGAATAATGTTATAAATATTTTGAGCTAATTTTTTTTTTTTCTTATCAAATTAATTGCGTAAGTAAAGTAAAATTTTTTTAGTCAAATTTTTTTTAATTATTTAAAAGAATTTTATTAAAAATGTTATAGTTGTTTTAATTATTAGGAACAAAAAAAGTTACGTTTGTTATTTTCTTTTGTTTTCGACGATTGCTTTTCCATTGATGCTATTTTTGTCTTTTGATTTTCAATATATTTTATTAGTTGTTTTTAGTTTAGGCTTTGTTTTTTAGGGTAATGCCCAAAACAACCACCAATTTTGATATTTTTATAACCAACTTCATATATTTTATAAAGCACTATAACTCTAATCTTCTAAATCTGTTTCCTCTTTATATGTTGTTTTAGGAATATAATTATAGTTTAATATACCACTATTAATAGTGTACCGCCTATAAAAATTTGATGCTTTTATATTATTGCTTTAAAAATAAATTTAAAGGTATTTTTTTTTTTTTATATGATTCTGTTTTAGGTGTTCTAAGTCCTTACGTTCTTATCACAGAGCACCGCGGAAAGCATTTAATAAGAAAGTTCATGCCTATCCGATCTAGAAAAATTTGTCAAAAAGTGGGTTTCGAACCCTAGATCGCTGTAGTCTGAGATAAGCACGCTACCACTGCACCACACGGCAATATATCTAAATATTTTGTGATGGCATTTTTTAAAACAGATGTGTTTTTTTTAAATGAGTAAAGTTTTTAAATGTAATAGCGTTAAAAAGTTAAAATCATCGATTTTCAAAAAAATATTATAAAAAAATCTTAAAGTGCCCCAAGTGGGATTAAAGGGGGCCAAAAAGTTACTTTAAATATAATTCATGGTCTGTGTTATACCCAACAAACAAAATAGATGTTGTTCCTTAATGTTTTACCTTCATGATTTATTGATGCAAGTTTTTAACTAACAACTCTTTTTAAAAAAGCAAGGCTAAAAATAAATGATTTCAATAAAATAAACCTTTGTTTTTATTTGAAAATTCAATCCTTAGCTTTTAGGAAATGATTATATGTAGTCAGTTTCGGTGATGAAATTACCCAATAACCAATTTAAACTAAAGACCCCAACGTGAAAATAAATCAAGTCTTATATCAACACAAAACAACACCACAATAAAATCACAGAATAAAAAAATAATACAAGATTATACAGTAAACTCTGAAATACTTAAACCTTTAAGGAACCAAAAAATTAGCTTGTTAGAGAATGTTAGCGTTTTTGGAAGTATAATCCACAAATAAAGGCTCAAATGAAATTTTAAAATTAGTTTAAGCATTACTTTTATGCATGTGTATATGAAAGTGCTATGTAGGTGTAATGCAAAAGACTTGTTATACATGTTTTTTGCAAAAAACATGTTACTCGTTGTACTAAAAGAAGCAGCTTGAGCTATATATATAAAAAAATAAAAGTACACTCTTGCTGTAAAATTACAAGCCAAGTCATAACACTTCAAAACCTTGAAAACCACACAGCCACTTACACATAACAAACATAGAAGCACTTTATAAACAACATGTATTTACACATTTATGTCTGCATCAAATTATCTAATTTAAAAATTTAAGATTAACTGATTCAACAGATACTAACAGATTATAATATAGATATTAAAGATTTAAGAATACCTTAGTGTGTGATCAAAAGTATAAACTCACCTCTTTTACTTTAGCGACGGTTCAATTCATCATGCCTAACCTGGTTGTAACCTGGTTGTAACCTGGTTGTAACCTGGTTTTTTCCTTTTGACAAAGTATAATAATTTTACTTTTGAAATTATCAGACTTAAATAAGCATCAAAGAAGTGTGTAAAAATGGTGCCTAAAATAATAAAAATTGAACTTTTATTTTTAGATTGAACTTTGAGTTTTCTTTCTTAAACTTATCTAAAATATATTGTAAGCAAATAAAACAGACCATAATATAATATTCTTACTATATTCTACTCTACTATAAGTCATTTTTAAATTAGATGTTTCAAAATAATTGAGCAATGTGTTAAGATTTCATATTTTTATCAAGAACTTAAACTAAAATTATAAATAATTTTTGATAAACTAAAGACCTCCTATTTATTTAAACTAAATTTATAATAAAATTTAGTAAAGAAACTTGAAAATATTGACACTTCTTGAACTGTTTTAATTTTTTTTTATATATTCATTTTCCTTAAGAAAAAAAAGCCAATATATAAAACATTGAAATATTATTATAAAAAAAAATTTTCTCTATACAAAAAATCTTAAAAAACTTAATGAATGTTACTAAAACTAATGTAAAACTTCGCATGCTTAACCATATAAAAAACAAACAATAAAGTTAAACATATTTATTAAAGGAAATAGAAACTCTTAAATGTTAAAATGGGAGGACCTATTAGTAAAAAGTTTGTAAACAAAATTTATTTATCATAAAAAGCATAAATTGTTAACAAAAATAAACGGAGTATATATATCTCTTAAACTAATTTACTCAAAAAATAACAGTATATAAAAATTTAATAAAGAATAAATCTTTTCAATAAAATTTACACAAAAATATAAATATTAAAAATATTATAGATAATAAAAAACTTTCAACAAAACATTTTTCAACACATTTTATGACGACATTAACTACAAACAGATTTAATTTATGTGTATTACTACTTTACTGGCACGGTCAACAATCTTGCTCTCAACAAATCCAAGTCACATTACAACAAAGTACACCACTTGACTAGCAAGGTCACCACTCTTGCTGTACACTAAGTCAAGTCACAACAATTTGAAACTATAAAAATAACATAATAACTACTTACAAACTAAAAACACATTACATTATAACACATCACAAAGATAGAAACACTTCATATATAAAAGATATTTACACACTTACAAAATATAAACCCATATAACCTTAACACAGTTAAACACATAATAAATTATGCATAAATATAGTTAAGGTGTAATTTATAAATAATAAAATACACATAAATATAGTTAAATATATAAATTAAAAAAACCTTATTTTTCTAATATTTGTTTAAAGACATATCGTAACAAACTTTTAACAACTTTAAAAAAACAATCGATCAAACAGGTTTTTGATATTATAAAAGCAAACAGATTTTCTTTAAAATTAGATGTTAAACAACCTTGTTTTTAAATGTGCAACATAGAGTTGACCGTGTAAGATGCAAAGGTTTTGGAGATAAACACTAAATTAATGAAGAGTTTGAAGTTTTACCTTTGAAAAGATCTTCGTCTTCTAGAGGCATCATTGTAATCTAATTTTTACAAATAAAAACTACAGGTTAATATACTTTAAATACCATTAACAAATAGCTTGAATTGTGTCTTTATTAAAATGTCACAGTTAGCATTAATCTGAGTTGACCCTTAAGTCAGCTCCCGAGGTAACCACGATATACCTGTGAAAGCTTCTGACCATAGGATTCAAAAAATGTGAAAATTTAAATCATCTGCCTTCGTCCAAGAAATAAAATCATTTTTTAAAATTTCCTTTATTTCACAAATATGTGAAATGACAGCATGCCCAAAGTTTTACATTTTTACAGTATTTACCAACAATAAAACTATGTATTTATTCAGCATGTTAGATTTCATGATATTTTACATTATTAAAAAGTATAAAAAAATTCCGAGAAAAGGTTCTTTTTCCGGACGCAAAATCTATGAAGGAATCATTTTTGAGGCTCTTGTAAAAAAATTGCATAAATGCTTAATACGGCAAGAAATCACGATGAAAACCGAAAAGTTGTATGCCTTTGTGTCTCAAAAAAGCAAACTGACATCTCACTACGTTTTTGAAAGAAAAAATTCAAATTATCTGCAGCCAACAAATCACTTATAATGACGCAAGAGTTCCTCAAGGCATTTGTGAAACATGCAGGATTTCTTTAAGAAAATATCATCAAGTTGAACTGCCACAGCTTTATCCGTTTAAAAGGATAAATGTTAAAATTTCCACGAGAGGAAATTCTTGTGAATAGTTAATTTGCTGTATTGGCTGTTTGAAATTGATAAAAAAAAACCCTCTCGAAACCACGAAAATAAAAGAAAAAGTATCAGACAGAAGGTGCCCAATATGTCTGACCCTGATTGGTAGGGGCTACCACATCAATGCTCTACTGCAAAGTTTGCTGCAAAGAAGGAACATGAAATATTTAGCTGCAAATGATGGTAAAGTTGCAGAGCATATTGCATCATCAACAATCACAAACAAGGAAGCTTCTCTTCATAGAATCATTTGACTTTCACAAGCTAAGGGTAGACGAACATTTTCTATAACTTCTGGTAACAAAATATTTTAGCTTATCGTTTTATTTATGATAACAAATAATAACCTTTGTTGTATTTTAGGACCATCAAGTGCAAAACAGCTGTTCAAGGATCAACTAGTTGTTACACCCAAATATCTTGCTCAGGTGCAAATAAATACAGCCTTGTCTAACAATGGTATCAAAAAGCTAGCACAAGCAATCAACAATGTAGGCACAATCAAAGTTTTAGAGCCTTAGACAGTTATAAAATATAAAAAATCTCGGCAAAAATCTTGAAGAAAGCTTCACTCAGACAGCAATGGCGTTTACAAACTCTGGCAAAATAAATCATTCTTTTTATTCATAGAATAAGCGATTCTTTTTTGGTAATGGATCTTAATCCGCCTATGGAGTTGCATTTTTAAATTGGTGTTGTGAATCATCTTTTCAAGATTCTTAAATAAGAATGGTCAAAAGCAGATTATTGGCTTCAAGCTTTACACATAAAGCAACAGCCCTTTTACGAGGGTCATTTTACATACAATGACTGAAATAAGCTGCTAAAAAACCTGGATCTTTTAGCAATCTACCGCTGAAAAGGACAATGCTTTTTAATTTTTTTCCATCATTGATACCTTGCAAAAGTTTTCTGATGTGGCATCATCCTGTTTTAAAAATAAATTGCATGTGTAATTTGAAGAAATAAAAGATGATTTCA